TGAAAGGGGCAAAAAGACACTGTTAAAGCTCCTTGTTGCTTTTGCTGTCTTACATCACCATGAATTGTTGCTCTTCTACCATGTGTCACTCTGCCTTGGATCCAGTTTATTATGGACTGAAATCTCTACAAACTGTGAGATAAATAAACCCTACCACCCCTTTAACCTTGGTTGTTGGGTATTTTGACTCAGCAGCAAAAGGAAAGTAACCAAGACATCTTACCAAAAGAAAGACCCAAATCCATGCAATTAGAAGTGAAACAGGTGAAATCACTACAGATTCTGGCAAAATCCAGAGCATCATTGGTAATTACTTTGAGAACCTGTACTCTAATAAAAATGAAAATTCCAGAAACATAAATAGATTCCTAGATATTTACAAGCTACTACAGCTAAAAGACATAAAAATCCTGAATAATCCAATAGTCAGTGAAAATGAAGATGAAATTTTAAAAATCAAGAAAAGCCCATGTCCCCACAGATTCATTGTAAAATTCTAATAGCATTTTAAAGATCTAATGCCAATGTTCCTCAAACTCTTTAATGAAATCAAAAGGGAAACAATACTTCCAAAGTCATTCTTGGAAGCAAGCATTATCCTGATTCCAAAACAAGAAAAGTACACAACCAAAAAAGAGAACTGCCCTGTAATGAACTCATTAACAGTTTAATGAACATAGATGCAAAAGTCCTCAATGAGATTCTAGCAAGCAGAATGCAGCAGATCATCAAAAAGCATAAATCATGACCAAGAATGATTCATTCCAGGGATGGTTCAACATACAGAAATCAATTAATGTAATAAACCACATAAACAGACACAAGGACAAAAATCACTTGATCAGATCAATAGATGCAGAAAAATGCTTTAACAAAATCTAACATCAATTCATTATTTAAAAAATGAACAAAATAGGTATAGAAGGTCTTTATCTAAATCTGATAAAAGTCATTTATGGTAAATCAACGGCCAACATCCTATTAAATGGAGACAACTGAAGGCTTTCCCTCTAAAATCAGGAACAAGACAAGGATGTCCACTACCACCACTATAGTGCTTGGGCCGGGGATTTAGCTCAGCAATTCGGTGGCCTGCCTTACAAGCACAAGGACCCAAGTTCAATCCCCGGTACCAAAAAAAAAACAAAAAAAAAAAAACCATAGTGCTTGAAACATTAGCCAGAGCAATTACACAAGAGCAAGAAATAAAAGGGATGTGGATAGGAAAAGAAGAACTTAAATTATCATTATTGCAGATGACATGATCTTCTCTACTTATAAAACCATAAAAACTCCAAAGGACTCCTAGAATTAATAATGAAATTCAGTAGCATACCAAGGTACAAAGTCAATAGTAAAAAAATCAATAGCTTCCCTGTACACAAATAATAAACTAACCAAGAGAGAACTTAGGGAAACAATACCTTTCACAGTAGCATCAAGGAAAATAAAATACTTAGGAATTAATCCAACCAAGGAAGTGAAAAGACCTTTACAATGATTTACTCTGAAAAAGGTGAAAGAATACATGAGAAAATGGAAAGATAGCCCCTTTCCTGTAGAGACAAAAGTAATACAGTCAAAACTGCCATACTTGCAAAACTGTTACACAGATTTAACACAGTCTCAATCAAAATACCAACAGCATTCCTCATAGAACTACAGAAAGAATCCTAAAATTCATATGGAACCAGAAAAGACCTAGAATATTAAAAGTGATTCTGGGAAACAAGGGCAAAGCATGGAGCATCCCATTCCTGGACATCAAGTTATACTACAAAGCTACGATGATAAAACAGGATGATATTTGCAGGGAAAAAAAGACTTGTGGATGTATGGAACAAAATACAGGATGCAGAAACAACTTTAGGTACTCTCAGCTGCCTTACCTTTGAAAAAGGAGCCAAATACTTTCACTGGAAGAATGACAGTCTCTTTAACAAATAGTAACAGGAAAACTGACTAGCCATATGCCAAAGACTGAACCTATATCTATCTATATCTCTCACCATGTACTAAACTAAAATAAAAATGGTCAAAAATCTAAATATTGAACCAGAAACAATCTTCTGGAAGACAAAATAGATAAAACTCTTGAAGACATATGCAGAGCGAAAGGTCTTCTGAACAACACCCTGTTTTTCCAGAAATGATGCCAAGAATCAACAAAGGGGATCATATCAAATTAAAAAGCATCTGCAGGGCCGGGGATTTAGCTCAGTGGCACAACACCTGCCTCACAACACAAGTGTAAGGTCCAGAGTTCGATCCCCAATACAAAAAAAAAAAAAAAAAAAAAAAAAAAGCTTCTGTACAGCAAACGAAACCACCAACAATGTGAAAAGACAACCTACAAAATGTGAAAAAAAAAATGCACCCTATTTCTCTGACAATGGACTAGCATCTATAATATATAAATAACTCAAAAAATTGGGCCCCCAAATTTAAAGACTCAATTTAAAAAATGGACATCTGAAATGAATAGATTGTTCTCAGGTGAAAAAGCACAAATGGCTAAGAAATACAAAAAAGAAACAATGTTCAACATCACTGGCCAAGAAATGAAAAAAAAAAAATCAAATAGAACAACACTAAGATTCTCCCACTCCAGAAAGAATGGCCACTACCAAGAAATCGAACAATAATAAATTGTGGAAATAGTACGGTGGAAGGGGGAAAGTACTCATTGTGAGTAGGAGTGTAAACTGGTACAATTACTATGGATATCAGTACAGAGAATCCTCAAAAGACTAAAAATAGAAATTCCGGGGCTGAGGATTTAGCTCAGTGGTTCTGCCGCCTGCCTTGAAAGCACAAGGACCCGAGTTCGATCCCCAGTACCAAAAAAAAAAAAAAAAAAAAAGCAATAAAAAAAAAAAAGTCATTAAAAAAAATAGAAATTCCATTTGACCCAGTTATTCCCCTTCTAGGTGTTTTCCTGAAAGAACTAAAGACATATTACAGCGATACATGCACATCCATGTTTATAGCAGCATGATTCACAATAGCTAAATTGTAAAGCGGCCTATATGTCCATCAACACATAAATGGATAAAATGCAGCATTATAGTCAATAGAATATTATTATGCCGCAAAGAAGGATAAATTAAAGTCATTTGTAGGAAAATGAGTGTACCTTAAGATGTTTTTTTTTGTACTAGGAATCGAACTCAGGACCTTGTGCATGCAAAGCAGGTGGCAGAACCACTGAGCTAAGTCCCTGGCCCCCCCCTTAAAATCTTAATGATAAGTAAATCATACACACAAGCTTAACTATCATATGGTTTCACTTATATGAGACACCCTATATATAAAGTGCAAAATAAAAGTCAGACAATGGGAAAAAATAGAGAGAAAAAGTTATTGTAATCCAGCATGACCAATGTATCTAAAAGTATACCTTGATTTAGTTTAATTGTTTTATGTGTTTTACATGTCTTTTGGCCAGTTAATCTAGCTGTTAATCTGTGTTTATGACAATTAACTCAAAATAAACACATCTGATGCTGGCCAACAAAATAACAATTTTTTAAAAATTTTAAACAGAAGTAGAGAGGAAGAGTAAAAATGACATGTGTTATATACACATACCATTCCCCACAATGAATGCAATCATTATGTACTACAAACATGTACTAATAAAAATTAAAAACAAATAAAAAGAAAGTACATATTAGAAAGAATAAAGAGGGAGGGGGTGAAAGTGTGGATAATGAAGGTACAATATAAGCAAAAGATACACAATGACTCCCCTCAAAAATATGGGAAATTGGAGAGGGGAGCAAGGAAAGGGGTTCATGGAGGGTGAAAACAATCGATGTTATGTGTGTGTACAAATCCACCAAAGGAAGCCCATTAATATATTTTTTTAAAAAATCAACCTGTTAACATATGCAACAAGCCACCTTAAATTAAAATTTTAAGGAAGTCTCGTTTTTAGTACCAGCAAAAATGTGAAAAATTTAATATAAACTAATACAATATATTCAGCTTGCATATGCTGAAAATACTGTAAAAACCTAAATCTAAATAGTATTTTATATTCCTCAAACTGACCTATAAGATTCTGTATCATCCCAATAAACTCGTAATAGGAATTATGTAGAAATTAATTCGTTCCACCAAAAATTTATACACAACTTCTGATATACAAAGCTTGGCAAGTGTCACTCCTTCCTAAAAACATGTAAAACCTAAATAAACTAAAATATCAACAATTCTTAGATTCTTCAAAATGTGAGGCTGCTATATAAACCACTAGTACCAAAAGCTAAAGATACAGGTGAATAAAATGAATTTATTACTGCAGAAAATCACAAACAGAAACTTTTACAGGAGTAAGTACTGGTACAGGAAAAGCTAAACTGTGATTAATGAATAGCTAGCTGCTAGAGGATTGAGGCGACAAATTGGAAATTATAAACTCCAGAGGAGGACAATGACAGGGAGAGCCCCAAAATTTTTATCACTGTTACCTCCAGAAACACTACCAGATTCTTCGCGGGGTGTGGGGGGGGGGGGTCCCAAATGCTTTAGGCAGAGGAAGCACATGTAACCATTTTGGAATACATCAGAGCACTCTGCTCTTAACAAGGCCTCCACTCAAAATGAACTACTTATTAGAGACTACAGGGAAGGAGGAAAGGAAGTACAGTACCCAACTCCAGCCTGCACTTTCTTTGCCTATGGGATAAGGGAAATAACCAAATCAGCCCCTTTTAATCATCATATCCAACCTGGGGGGGGGTGGCTTAAGAAACAATTGTGAAGTTCACAGCTCAGTAGAATCAGGTGACTAAAACTGAGAACCAATCAGAGGAATACAGAACACTCCCCTCTCCACATACCTTACTACTACATCACTAAAGGACTATTCACTAAGAGTCCTCTTACTCACTACATCATGCCTGAA